TCAAAATGGCTGCTGTGAAAATGGCCTATTGACCACAGCTTCCAGCACAGGCTAAAATACAAATAGAATGCTCCAGGACAACATTATTTCCAGGGTATTTGGTAATTTAAATTATTTTCCAGGTGTTTCCATGCTGGAAAAGTAGTCTCCTAAATTTTCCAGGTTTTCCAGGACGCGTTGGAGCCCTGTTAATGGCGCAGAGGTCTGAGAGAACAGGTGGACAGGTGAGGGAACATAACACATGGAGACAGAAGGGGGGGTGCAGACATTGCCATGACAATATGTGTGGGAGGTGAAGTTTAGAAACAGTTGAGAATAGCTACAGAGCACATTGTTTTCTGTGGTGCTGTCTTTGTTCTCTCTGCAAGGTGTCTGCACAAGGTTTTATCCAGGACTCAGCAGTAGACCAAACACAGAATACATAATACATTTAGAAAGATTTCATGTTCAAATTTACTGTGCTGCGCACAGTGAGGTTACATTGAACCCAGTTACAGGTGTGTATAGTGTGGCTTGTCAGCAGGGGGCAGCAGCAACCCTTTATACACTACATAATCTATATACACACTCCATACATAGCTTGTTTTATCTACACCTGTACTGTGCAATTATACATATAATTTCTTATATGCAGGGGTATGAATAATTTCGGCCTTGACTGTATATAATATATATATTTTTTATTATAATGCTATACACCATGTGTGAATTAAATAATCTGTGTCAATCACATCTGTATACAAAACAATGTATATAACTCTTTTTCTTCTTTTTCTATTTTAATTATATTTCGTATTTTTTAAATTCTATTTTTATTTATGTATAATTTCTTATCTGTTGTTTTGTGTTGTACCTGTAGCTGTTTGAGTTTACCCAGTGTGGGATCAATAAAGTTATCTTATCTTGCAGCCTGTATTATCTCTTCACAAATGTATTTAGAATTTATATATTGTCTACAGTTAAATGAATACTACTGTTTGATGACTAAAAATTGTGGTCTGAAATTTCACTCTGAAATAAAACGGTGGGTGGTTTGTGGAGAATATGAGAAAATAAGTGGACTCAAGGGTAGTTTTATTATCCTCGAATGGCACAGCTGAAGTTGTACAGCCAGCAGTATATACATAATCAATATCACCAGACAACAAACAATAAGCAACAACCAGTGAGACAATTAATAAAGTAAGTCCTGTAAATACGATACAAATATCACATAAAGTTAGCAGGAACAAATACATATTTCAGTCTATTGGTCCTGCAAGAGTGATATCAACATTTCTGACAAGTCAATGAGGTCTGTAGAAACACACTCACACTATCATACACTCACAAAGCCAGTCCAATGCTGTTGACTCATATTCAGTGTGATGCATTTATACATTTTCCTCTAGCAGAATTGGTCTGGTCTATAAAATCCATTTCTTCTTTTGGCTCTTTAACACATATGTTATGGCATTGCCCAGAGATAAAACAATTTTGAGTCCAGAATATAATGTGTGTAATATTGAATGTGAAAGTATCACTATGCCCTGAAGTGTGCTTGTGCTTGTGCTAAAGTGGATGGAATGAAATTTGCAGTAACACAATGTTTGATAACATTTCTTTCTATAAAAAGGATAATTCTTATCAGCTGGAAAGTATGACAATCAAAGCATTTTTGTTTTAATCACTGGCTAAATGACTTGAACTGATAGTGATAGAATGTGCAGCCACAGACCTGCAGGGGCATTATAGAGATCACGGCTTAGGCAGACCATGGACACTTTATATAAATAAAAGGCAGTTAGTTTAAGAATATTCATTTATTTATTTAGTATAGAAACCTTGTAAGTCCTGACATGAAGGGTTGATGTTGCAGTTATTTCCTGAACAAAATAAATACTATTTAGAGCTTCAACAAATGGCTAATTGACCGTTTGGCTGATGATTGATACATTGGCTGAAGGATGTTTTGGTTTACAAGAATGCACCGGACCTGAACGAAGCCAACCAATCAGAGCCAAGAAAGATAGAAAGATGCTTTAGGTTGGTGGCTTAAAATTAGTTGATTGTTGAGTCTCATTCCCAGTGTTGATATTTGACGATAAGCTATCTTTCTCAGCCCTGATTGGTTGTTTTCGTTCAGGCCCTGTGGATT